GTGCAGATAAAGTATTTCCAGTATAAAAAAACGGAACAAAATTAATTGCTAGAATTGAAGCATTGTGGTTTGAACAGGTGCAATTCAGTGAGTCGAACATTTGGTGAGTGGCTTAACAGAAGCAAAAAGTGACTGAGAACGCAGTAGAAGGGATGAGGAAGAGAATAACGAACTAATTTTAAAAAAATCTGAGCACAAATAGCTTTTTTTAAAATGCCAGTTATCGCACTTTAAGAATAGCATGTTATCATTAAGTATCCTCAAAATCCGTTGGGCATTATGCAGTGGGAAGCAGCGCAATTGTAGTGCATGAGTTAACGATATGATTTTGCTGATGGATCAACCAATCTCTTACGACTGATTCATTCATTTCGATGGTAAATTGGTGCTGGCATAGGCTAAGAATTCAAATCCACCATCATATGCATGTAGACAATTATAGAATAATTGGCCACGCAACTGCCTGTACAAAGGTGCGTTTCTTGCACAGTTTCCCCACAGGTTTTTGGCGCTAACAGCAATTTTTTCCCAGCAGAGGATTCTAAACTGAGGTTGGCCATCCACGACTATCAGAAATTATTATAATGACTCCCAATTAATTCGATGGTGGCCACGGTTAAAAAAATTCAGCAATATGAAGGTTTTGGTTGTAAAGTTACGTCAAATCTCACGTGTTTGCAAGTGGAGGGGCGAGAATATTGTTTTCAAGCTTGATTGCCCAAACACGGTCCTGGGCCACGCTCAGAAAATTTCAGTGCTCCAGCTGTTTTGGTCACGGAGCTACGTCAGATTTCACTTGTTCGTATTTGGGAGGAACCGGCAAGTATTTGTGCGTTTTTGCCGTGCAGCGCCAGAGAGCTGCAACAGGTAGCAAAAAAGTCTGCTGCGACGATTCTGACTGTGTGTGTGTTTGTGTGTGTTCGTCTGCCCGGGTATTTCTGCTCGACGCAAGCTTTGATGTTGAAATTTTACTAATGTGTTCCCTGAAGAAGTACGATCCCAGGAATGTGATATCAACTTTCGTGCACAAGAAAGTTGGTGGGAAAATGTGCGAGAATACGCAAAAGTTTTGGTGGGAAAATTACTCACTCGGGGAAGGATAAAACTAGAAAGCAAAATTTTAAGAAAGTGTTTTTTTACTCACTTACAACTGAAAGATTTCAAATTCAGCTCCCTTGAATAGTTCGGGTCTCATGTGCAGATACGCTTCTCATGATTATGCAACTCTTCATTATAGCACAATACCAGCGTATTCGCTTCTGTTGCAATAGAAGCAGTACTTATAAGAGGTGATTGTTGCTCCTCGTAAAGTTTTTTTTGCGCACCAGCAATTTTCTGTTTGTCGGTAACTGAGGCCGGCTTTGACAGCTAACATACTGCATAGCTATACAACTAGCCTCCTGAATTTCGATGATCAGTAGGTCACAAATTTCAGCTACTGGAAATCCAAGTGATCTAACTGCAGCACTAAATAATGCAAAAACCAAAAACTTATGACTGCGTCGGCCCGTCTGGTGTGCATCGCCGACGATTTTCATCTGAACTAGCTCAAACACGTAGGTTTGGATTAAGTTGTCAGAGTTCGAGATAAAAACTCGGTGCAGACGCAGACGTGGACACATACATACACAGACAACCAACCCCTCGGCAGTATGCGCCTTTGCACTGCACCGATGCAAAAAACGCATAAAAAAGGAGTTTTTGCAAGCTTTGCTGTCAACAACAACAAGTTACTTCGCATGTGCTTTAACCTCTCACTGAAAGCAAATACGGAAGGGTTTCGACTATTGATTTACCAGCCTCACGCTGATTAGGACAGGAACCATTGCGGGATCATACTTTTCAAAAAGCGGCCGAATACAACTAATTTCAGCATAATTGGGAAATGAATGCCATATTTTTTTTAAACTATGCTAAAATTAATTATATTCATAACGAACAGAGAGAACGTTAACCCAAAGAAATAAATCCAGAAGAGCTTTTTGCGAACGTTTCATCCGAATCTCATCTTTGGCTTCCTAGTTTAGCTCTGCAGGTGTCAGCTAAAAACTAGTTTTGTAAAAACTTTGTTTAGGATTGAATTCTGTAAGAATTTTGTCTGAAAAGTCGTTCTGTTTTTCCAGTCACTGTTTCGAAAGAGACAAATAGAAGGTCTTCCCGCTTCGGATTTCTATGAAACCATGTGGAGCATGAAATAAGATTCCTTGTGGAAGTGCACAGGATAGCTTGAGTTCCAATAAGGTAAGATGCTTGTGTTATTGGAAGATTGTAGTAGCGGTGTGAAGTAATTCATAAAAATAGAAAAATAGCAAAAATATTCACTTCCATACCACTAAGGCAAAACAACGCCCTTTTATAGTTTGAGTGTATTCAATTAGCTACGATCAAAAGATAAAAGTATTTTCCTCGACTATTACCAAAATGAATGATTTTCGTTATATTTGGGATTTCTCAAAACAAAAACAACCTCCACCGGGGCTGTTATTAAATATGGCTATACATCAGAGATCAAAACAACCGTTAATATAAAACAAGGACGCTCATTACGCAGCCGTTGACTGGTAATCCTTTTAGGA